TCCTGGGGGTGGCGGGGACTAAGCATCGGGCAGCTAACTACAAGACTTGTGGTTCAAATCTATCAGCTGTTGGACAGAAGCAAGATGGGGCTCTGCCTCCATCAAGGTTTATGGTCCTGGAAACCCTACAGAGCCCCTGTTCTGTTCTCTACAGCTGCTGAGCTGGAAGAGACTCAATGGCAGTGGGTTTGTTGTTGAGTTTTTGTGGTTAGGTCTAAGGTTGCTGTATTTTCTGCATGTAATACGGGCAGGTAAATAATATGCACACAGAACACGAAGGGCGGAAAGGAGTGAGGAGCTGATACCAGAGCTCAAGTAGAAAAAAAAAAGTTTTGAAAATGATGGCAACAAATGTACAAAGGTGCTTGACACAATGTATGTAGGTGTATGCATTGTGATAAGAGCTGTATGAGCCCCCAATAAAATGATTTCCAAAACCCCAAGTCACCAAGGGGTTGCATGGTCTACAGATTAACAAAAAAAAAAATCCCAAACAAAATAAAAACGCCAACCACCATACCACTTACGTGTTACTTACGCTAGACCATGCTATTGGCACAATGGTGGCCACAGTCGCTCGTTCAGCCTTGCCAAAGGGTTTCACAGGCACAGCAAACCTTCCCGATACGTTCCCCACCTCCCCCACTTACCTCCGACACAGCATTTCCACACTTCGTGATTTTGGAACCACAATACATGAAGTGTTGAGTTGTACACATTAAACTCTTCGCTATTTACATAAAGACAATGGGGGTTGGTGATGGGGCAAAACTTTTTGGTACTGTTCATAAACAATGGCTACCCCTGCTAGATTAATCCACGTCACAATGAAGCGAGGAGGGCCTTAAGAGTAGTAAGTATATGGTAGTTCTGGCCACAGACCACCAGTCATCGGGCAGCCTCAAGGCAAGTGATCAGAACTAAAGTCCAATGTCCACCTGCTTCTTGTCACACTAGGGAGTTTCAGCATTAATTCTAAGGGATACAGGGAAGTATCAAATAAAGCCCAGTTTGCTTAGTGGGGTTTCTACATCGAGTCCTTCTGGTGTGGCCGATGAGGGTGCTGTGTACCCTGGAAGAAGAGTCTGAAGTCTGAGCAGTCACCCAGTAAAGACCCTGGTGTCCTGGCCTGGGTCACCAAGGCTAGATGGAAACTAGGTCCAACGTGTCCTATTAGGAACAGTTTCAGGCATTCTCCGCTTGGGTGCTACATAACGACTGCTAGGCGTTTTTCCCTGACGGAAGGCTGCTCCCCATTTTCCTACCAATGGGAAAGGAATTGCTTTCTCTGAGACACCCGTGCCCACTAGCCCGCATCCTGACGTGAATTCCTGTCAGTTTCCTGTCACTCTGGTTTGGGGTGACCTGAGCACAATGGTGTATGGCAGTAATGGAGTGGTCTAAATACTCCCAGGAACTGATACTCTGAGGATGTCAGAGTACCCACATAGCTCAGGCACTCTGGGGAGCTGGCCAATTAGTCCAACATTAGATGGCACGTTAAATCTGGATCTAAAACCAAACCTCGAGTCTGGTTTGATGGTTGGAAGATTAGTAGGGGGACGCCCTTGCCTGCACAGACTGTGAGTGGAGGACACTGAGAGGGGGGTCACGCCATCGGGGACACGGTGTTGGCGTCTCTCCCTCTGTCATACATGGAGAGGGCCGCCCGGCATTGTGCTTTTGGAAACGTGAGAGACCCAGTGAAAGACCAGAGGCTTCCATGGCGCCCAGTGGTGCCTTCCCCCCCCCTGGGAAACTTCGAGGACATCTGAGCAGCCCTGGCCGTGACCCAGGGTCGAGCAGCAAGTTCAGGGGAGGGGAAGCAACACTATGACTTGACCTCCTATCCTGCATCCTCAAAGACACGCAAAAGCAAGAAGGGGGTTAATTTATTCTCATCTGTCTTATAAAAATTTTTTTTGTTGAAAATAGTATACCCAGAATTCTCCACAAGAGGCTAACATGCCCTTTAACACAAGCCTGTTACACATAGGTCTATCTTGCATTTCTTTTTTTTTTTTTTTGGCTTTAGTACAATCTTTATTTATTTTTAAATCATTTTATTAGGGGCTCATACAATTCTTATCACAATCCATACATACATCAATTGTGTAAAGCGCATTTGTACATTCATTGCCCTCATCATTCTCAAAACATTTCCTCTCCACTTAAGCCCCTGGCATTAGGTCATTTTTCCCCTCCCTCCCCGCTTCCCCCTCCCTTATGAGCCCTTGATAATTTATAAATTGTTATTTTGTCATATCTTGCCCTGTCCGATGTCTTCCTTCACCCACTTTTCTGTTGTCCGTCCCCCAGGGAGGAGGTCACATATAGTTCCTTGTAATTGGTTCCCTCTTTCCTACCCACTCTCCCTCTACCCTCCCAGTATCGCCACTCACACCACTGGTCCTGTAGGGATCATCCGGCCTGGATTCCCTGTATTTCCAGTTGCTATCTGTACCAGTGTACATCCTCTGGTCCAGCCAGACTTGCAAGGTAGAATTCGTGTCATGATAGTGGGAGTGGGGAGGAACATTTAGTAGCCAGAGGAAAGTTGTATTTTTCATCGTTGCTACATCGCACCCTGACTGGCTCGTCTCCTCCCCGCGACTCCTCTGCAAGGGGATCTCCAGTGGCCCACTAATGGGCTTTGGGTCTCCACTCTGCACTCCCCCCATCATTCACTATGGTAAGATTTTTTGTTCTGATGATGCCTTATACCTGATCCCTTTGACACCTCGTGGTTGCATAGGCTGGTGTGCTTCTTCCATGTGGGCTTTGTTGCTTGTGAGCTTGATGGCCACTTGATTACCTTCACTATCTTGCATTTCTAACACAGCGCAAGGCCCTTAATGAACCCTTTAGGAAATCAAAGAGATCACTCGAAGAAGAAAGCGCTGGTAGAGCTGTAACTTATTCTGACGGCTGCCTCTCTCCCTACGTGTCTGCAATCCCACCAGCAATCCTGCCAGTTGTTTTGTCAAACACCCGGAGCACATGAGACTGAATTTTGCCCAACCATTAGTATGATATGCTCGATCCACCTAGATTAGCCAAAAAGAAAGAAAATGAGATTAAAGAGAACTATGAAAATGAAAAATAAAGACAGAATTCCAATTTCCTTTTAGAACAACCTGACTTTATTTTCGGAATCAAAAAGAAGTGTGCTCGTGTTACACCGGCAACATTAGGTTCTCACGGATGTCTCCCTCTCCAGGAACTGGTGACGAGGCTCAGCGCTGTATAAAGTGAGCACCCCAAACCACAGTTTCAAGGAAAACCGTTTAAAAGTGGAATCTGTTTCTAAGAAATCCTTCACCGCACTGGCATATGTCTCATGTAAACATCAAAGGGACTTAAACAATTACTGCAAGTTTCTGTGACAATGGTTTTTCAAGAGTTAAAAATCAGACCTTTATTTAAAACAGAAAGATTTAAATTATCTATGGGTTTCATACCTGACAATATATCTAAGGAATGAAAAACATAACATTCCCCCAGCCCCCAAATTACAAAATCTATTACTTAAGCTTGGAACAGGAAAATTATAAATGAAACTTTAAAATTATACTATATATATATTACTACACCATGTTAACTGTCATGTTTACTAAGAGACTTAGGAAATTAAAACCAAATTCTACAATCTGGGGACAGAGAAAATGCTCTTTCCCTGTTTAATTGAAGAGTCCATGCTAGTCTTTGAAGTATCCTCCGGGTACTTTCAAGCCAGGCCCGCAGGCCAAGAGTCGATCCCTTTTGGTGATGTCAGCAGCCAGTAGGCACTGACCCACCAGGTGAGCCTTCCACCAAGGCCAGCAGTCGAAAGGGTGGGAGGTGGGGTGGGGGGTCTTTAGAAGCACTGACTGTGGTGCCCTTCAGAAGTCCAAAGTCAATCTTCTGCAGGCCATTCCTGTGTGCGGGCGCATGTCCAGCATGCAGGCCGACTTGTCATTTGTTCAAATGAAGGCGTCGGGGAGCCCCTACCCTGCCCGCAAAGCCCCACACTTAATACAAACAGAAGCTGCATAATGAGAAAGAGCCTGGCTTATTTCACATCACCCGGTGGTTGAAGCTGGTTCACAAAAGAGACTCCAAAGCCATTAATGTCTCCATTCCAGTCACTCGAAAAATAGAGTGTCTTCTTTCAAAGCCATTAAAAAAGAATGTTTTGAAATGAGGAAAAATAGTCCTGCCTCCTCCCAACACCCCTGCACCCCCCCCCCCATCTGCATTCTGTACTTAGTGGGATACAATTTTCTAATTATTTTATTTTTCCAATTTAGGAAGAACTTGTGTCTGGGTCCTGGCTGATACTCTGTCAGACACCAAGCAATGCCAACAGGATTCACAAACCTGATTTTCTGACCCGCACAGGAAAGGCTGCTGAACATTCACAAAACACCAAGTAGACAGGTGAGTTGAGAATCAGCTGTTACGATTTGTTTCTCCACACAAACACAAATTTAAAACTTGATGATTTTTTTTGCCAACCCTTTTGCATGGTCACATTCTACTCACTTTCAAATCAAAATAAAACACACACACACACAAATGAGTATTATTCAACTGGCAACAAGTCCTATAGACCAATGTTATTTTAATTCAACAATTACAACCTAATAATGCCAGTGACTATTCATGTGCAACTCTTTATGAAATGAGCACATGCCAGCTTTAAGAATCACTTGCAAGAACGGTACTTGGCACTGGATTCCCTAATAGACAGAAGCCCTTAGAAAACCCCAGCTCGTAAGCACCTTTTTCCCTCAGTAATTTGAATTTCCAACAGTAGGTTTTAAACATTACTGTTTCACTGATCGGTTTTCGGGAGCCTAGGCCTGGTTGACAGTTGATTGAAAAACAACAAATAAATCCCTAAGCCACATGGTAAGGGCATAGCACACTTGCCTTCTGATACCATATGGGAACACAGTACATAAAGTTCAAAAATGAAAATCAAAAGGCCCTCCCCCCGCCCCAAGCAAACCCTCCCCCCAACATTCAGGTCTGAGCCCAACAGCCCCCCTCTGATGACGTGACTATGGGGAGGCTCTAAGGAAGCGGCAGTCACGGCTCCAAGAGCACACTACATTCAGAGAACGCTGGACAGGGTTCACAGGCTGCACTGCTCGCCCCATCCCAACTCCCCCTTCCTAGTAACCTGTAAAAGCGCCCTTAGGGTTTTTGATGCTAACAAAGGCATACACCACCGAGTGCACCCAAGACTAAGAGGAGGCAGCGCAGCGAGCACACGGGAAGCCTACAGGAAGGCTCTAAAGCTGAAGGACGGAGAAACAAAGCCGCAGACTGACTCTCGGCCCTGGGTTTTGTCTGGAGGCCAGGGGTTTGATTCAACAGTCGGATTTACCCACTGAACAGGCCCGAGAGAAACCTTTGCAGCCATAAGACACAGGCAGGGTACGGGGAGGCCGGTTCCAGGTCGCAGAGCTGAAGGCCGTCAGAAATGGGCACTGAAGGAAACCAGAAAGCTGTGGGGGCAGGGGGTGGGGGGGCAATGGGTGACAGGCCCTGGGGTTTATCGGACCGTCACACCAAGCTTCTCGAGCACACGGACCCCCTTTTCCTGGTATTCTTGCCGGGTCATCCAAAAGTTGTCTTTATCTTTCATGATGTCAGCTAGGACGGCGCCACCCAGGAACACCATGTGCTTCCTGCGAGGGGGGTCCTCAATGCGGATCTTGAATTTCTGAAGGAGGAAGAAGGCAGAATGTAGTGTGCTCTGCATTCCCACAACAACGTTTCCAGACACTCTCCTAGTGAGTCCCCAGAGCAGACCCGGGGCCAGCAGGACCACAGCATTTGGTATCTGAGGAGTAAGTAGGTCAGTTGCCCAAAGTTCAGGAGAGTCTCCTGCATCCATTCCAGCCCTGGTTCACCCCTGCGGCCCATCATTGTCCTGAGCAGCACTCTTTCACTCTCTGATATGAACGACTGATACCTTCTCTCTCCTGACAACCCAACTGCCTGAGCCCTGATTACCTGATTATCAAGGTTTCACCTACAGACAGACAGAGAGAGAGAGAGAGACAGAGAGACAGAGAGAGAGAGAGAGTGTCCCACAGGCAAGTCTCTGTCAACTGAAGAGTTTCCATAGGAGGATTTGTAAGTTTTCTGTGTGGTTTAAAGCTTCTCCAATTCTAATCTAGTGCAATAAAAGAAAATTGAAGTTCTTTTCTTACAAGCAAAGCTCACTTTCCTATTGACTCAGATTCAAGTGAAATGTTCTCAAAATAAATAAGACCAAATATGGTCAAAACAAATCACGGGGACGCTGGAGACACGAGCGCACTAACCAAAATGACAAACCAAGCAAAGCCGCTGAGTTAGTTGTGGAAACGGCCGGCACCCCCCTCCCCCACGCCCGTCCGTGCGATCCACCAACACCGACACAAGAAACCTTCAATGACACACGCAGGCTCCAAGTCTGCACATCACGACGCTGCATGAAGGCTCTGCAGGAGTCAGGGACCGGTGCACAGGCTAGGCACTGTCACTGTCTCAGTAATTCTCCGGGGTGGGGAGTGAGGGGGCTGGAGCACTATTTCTATAGGGACACCACAATGTTGAGGCCGAGGTGGTCTCTGCTAACCACCCAGCGCCTGGCCTGGGGTAGCTGGGCGTCAACGACAGACACCTGGAGCCAGGCTGTGCGTCAGTAAGATTTTATTTACAAAACACGGCTGTGCCCGGCCCCCCTGTGCTCTAAGGGAAACAGCTCTTTCTGAAGCTCTCTCCATTTGCTGCTTTGCTTCTCACTCCCTTTCCACCCTCTGGAGACCCTTTTGTTCCCCATTGCTGCTTCCACCTCCTTCAAACGCCACCAAACCAGAGACCCAGATTGTGCAGGCGCAGCCTGACCCTGTGGTTAGTACTCCTCCTCTTCGCCAGAGCGCCGCTACCAGTCACTGTGAGCCTGCTTGCTCCAGGCACCTCTCATTCTGCCAAGGAGCGGCTGGCGGTTACGAACTGCTGACCTGGCGGTTAGCAGCCTGACATGGAACCACTTCGCCACCAGGCTTCCTTTCATTTTGAGACCATTCTGGGACAGAGCTTATGTTGAGCCACTTAAATCTTCCCATCTCTTCCAAGTGGGATTTGTTTAAGGAAGCCTTCGAGCTCCCTCTAGTGGCCGAGCAGATTTACTTCACAGGACATTGGAAGCACGTTATCAGCTGGGCGGATACTCACGGAAAGCTTTTCCACATCTCCCTTCAGAACGCGCTCCAAGTAAAGCTGTTTAAGCTCCCGTTCCAGCCGGGAAGGCAGCCCAGGGTACATAGTCGATCCCCCAGAAAGCACAATGTGCTTATAGAATTCAGACCTAGGAGGAAACAACCAGCATTCATTCGGGGGTTCAGAAGAGCAAACGTGTCTCTCAAGGTCACTGCTATTCATGTTGGCCTCAAGAGGCTGCCATGAGGAATGGAATTCTGCATGGAAAGCCCCCAGGCCGACGCTCGCTACAACTGCTATTGTTAGATAACACTCTCTAGGGAGAAACATACACACCATTTTGATAAAACCACTTCTCAAGCACACTACATTTTCTTGCAAATGTCACTGGTACTCATGGTGTCCAGGGCGCACAATGAATTCCCAGGATGTGCCGGGGTTCTCACACCCACTGGGTGGGATGTAGTTCCTAACTCTCAGGAACCAGGCTCTACTCTGAGTTGAGTACCCCCACCCCAGTTTTCCTGTGTACGTCTTTGCCTTGAGGCTGCCTGCTCTCATTTTGGCCTGAGTGCACGATTGCTTTCTGCAACAGTCTCTGCTTTGGTCCTCACCCCACAATTGAAAGGAACTGCACCTGGAGTAAAAGCAGGAGGACGTGTGAGGGAGGGAGGCTCTGGGGAACTTTCCGGACAGCAAAACTGGGCTGCTGTTGAGTCGGGCATATAGGCCTCCAGTCGGCTTCTGGATTTTTGCTAACTCCATTACGAAATACTCCAGCCCTCAGCACTAATGTCACTAATACGGGGCAGACAGAGACCCATGCTCCAGAAGTGAAGCCAATCTTGCATATGTAGTATTGCAGCCCCAAATGCAGTGTTAATCACGTTGAGGAGAATGATCTACAATCCTCGGCAGGTCCTCTACTCGCCAAAGGTGTCAATGCCATGGGACACCGAGGGACTGTGCCAGCAAAGAGGGACAAGGAAATGCTATGGAGTCCTGGTGGTACCACAGCTGAGGACTTAGTGGCGCACCAAAGGCTGCTGGGTGAGCGCCCGGGCGCTCCAGGAGAGACCCGCTGCCTCGGTGACGCTGCCTCGGTGACGGTAACAGCTCTGTTCTGTCCCCGGCACCCTGGTCAAAACCAATTCCAGGGAACACTCGAGACGTGACAACTAAACAGTGTGTGATCCCAGACCGGATCCGACATTGGGGGAACCGCTACAGGCCTTTATGGGAGCAATGAACACCCTGAAATCTAGATGGCGGCTAAAAGTATACTGATAACGAAGCCCTTGAACCGGCGAACCACACGGTGATTATCCAAGAGGCTCTTGGCTCTTGGAAATACAACCGGACTTACGGAATGAAGAGGCTGAAGCACACAGCCTGCTCCTGGATGGCTCGGGAAAAGGGAGAGAGTGATAAAAGCCACATACACAATCTGTAAAATGGGACGCTAGTGCACACGCACTTTACTCTTCTCGCAACTCTTCTTCAAGTTTGAAATTAGTTCCAAATAAAGTTAAGGATCTCCTCAGACACAAACATTCAGTTGCAAAAATGATTTTGTCTTTTAAAAAATGTAAGTGATAAAAAAAAAAAAGGAAGAAACCAACCAAGCGAAGAATGAAAGTGATGCAACGGGCAACTTGGCAGAATAATTTCCCTTTGACCCATTTCTGGTAAATGCCTTTGAAACCACCTCTAAGCACGGCTTGAAACCGCCCTCTCTAATGTACCTGGTGTCGATGTCAGCCGCCTGAATGGTGTTAAAGAGCAATTCAGCAACACCCACTCCTTCTACATTGATCAAGTGAGGCTGGAATAAAGCTTCCGGTGCTTCAAATCTCTCTCCCCCAACTTTGATAATGCGGCCATCTGGGAGCTGGAAACCAAGCACAACCAGGGAGTAGTTAGCAACAGATGTGCACAACCTCAGAAATTTTACACACATCTATTCTGTAGACGAAACTGATGTCAGCAACTTTCCCCCTAAACATTTTTTTGGGGGGGAGAATAAAATAAAACTGTATTCCTATTATACTGTGTTCTGCCTTTAGGAAATACCAAATACTCCAAATACCAAGAATATGCGGAAACTTGGCGAGATCACTCATGCAGGGCCATCCTTGAGTGCAGTGCAGTGCAGTGCAGGCAGAGGGCGCTGAGCAACCAACCACTGCACTGAGCTGACTTAGGTTAATGTTGCCTGTCTTAATAATCTCAACACACTTGCGTCTATGGATGTTTTTGCCACATAGAACAGATACATTAAACAAAGTATGCCATCATTTACTTCCCTGCTCTGTAAAACTTTACTACTTTGCCATCAAAACACATGGCAAAAATGTGGCTACTTCTGCCTAATCATTTAATTCTAAACATCCTTTACGATAAAAAGTGCGGACGGGACACTGATCCAGACTCCTGTCTGCTAGTGAATTTTACTGGATCTCCTTAGTAGGCACTATTAACTGTTACATAACTGACAAGTGAAACCTAGGTAACTAAGATTTAGGGGCTAAGCCAGACGTTAACAAGAAGAGTCTGTGCAGAAAATGCTTTGTTCGGTCATTCCGTGTTTATATTTAATTAAATGAGAAATGTGAAGCGGAAGCTCCCTCCTCTGCCCTCCACCGTCTCACAACGCAATACACTGCCCGAGTACCGTGCAGTGTCAGTGTTTGCGGGCACGTGACACGGCGGGATGAGCGTGACCCGAACACGCCCTACACTGTAATTACTTGGAATAATATAATTACATCACATCTAGATTCTAAAGTTAACTTCCCAGGATGACAAAGTAAAGCAGGTGCACCTAACGTATTTGCTCTCTGTTGTAATTGTCTACAAATAACCCACAAAGCATTAACATGTTTTTAAAAGCCTAGGATGGAATATATATATATATATCCATCCCCCATTTTCAAAGTCAAAGCTGCCCGTACAAACATCAGTGTGAAGGAGTTATTAGCAAAACTCTCTTCCCCGTGGGTGCACTTCCGGCTCCTCTGACCCGTGGGCTTCCCTGAACGCTAAGCAGGAGGCTCCTCCCAGACTCTAAACGACGGAGGCCAGTGAGAACTAGGAAGACTAGCCGGCCCTTCTTCTATCTGTCTGCCCTTGTTTCTCTTCTGACTGTAGTGCTTTACATTTGAGCGACACATTTTCTAAACTAGCTCCGATTCTTTGAGAAAGGCGGGAGGAATAATGAAGCATGCCTGTCATTCTTTGCCTTGGGCCACTTTCCTCAAACCCAGTGTGGCAGGTGAAACAGTAGAAACGGGGGGGGGGGGCTGTCAAGGAAACACCCTAAGAGAAGTGGGCAGGTCTGAAGACTAGTGAGTTGCAATATGGGTTTCATCTCCCTATTTGGGTTGTTAGCTTTTAAAAAATAAAATGATCTAATTTTTAAACATTTACCATTCTTTCTAAACGCTCACCTTGCACATATCTGTGAATGTTTACAGGTAGTGAGGAGCAGTTTGAAAAAACTTGCTCTTCTTGTCTATTCCTCTATTTCATTTAGGAACAATGAGATCAAGGAGAGGGCCTGCAAGGTAACCGGCTTGCAATGGCGGCTCCTTAAACATTCAGGTGGGATCAGCTGCCCTTGTGTTGTGAGCAGTAACTAGGCTCCGGGCCTCATTAGCTCTAATTTCAAGTTAACATTTGCTTTGAGCATCTCATTAAGATTAAATCGGGAAAAGTCTGCCACCTACTGAATTATTAAAGCAGCGCTCTGAGATGACCACTTGCCCAGGTATGCAGACTTCTACAGAACACTCATGCCATGAAAGGCCGAAGCGTTCTGTAATCTTAGAAACGTGGCAAACAGGCTCAGCTCGGCCGGCAGCAGGCACGGAGCAGCATACCAAAGGTTCTGTGCAGTCCCGCAAGCAGAGCAAAACTTCCTGCTTCCAAACGGATTTGACAGTGAGGCTCCTTTTAACAAATTCTGTGAAACAATTTTGTCAACATCTCAGGAACCTGCCATCCTGTAAAACACACGTTTGGAAATGCTATCCCAGAAATGCTCATTCTCAAGGTGACACCTCATAGAGTTATAGCCCAACGGAGAAGAACACACACACCACGAATACTTACTGTGTAAGACTCCACTAATACTGTGGTTTCTAAGGCCAGCTTCTGCTCCTGCTCAATATTATAGCCCACGTAACACAGTTTTTCTTTAATCATGCGAACGGTTTCAAAATCAGCCGAGTGGTTGAAGGCATATCCTCGCAACAGAAGCAGCTGTTCAAAACATAGCAGTAAGTTCACAACAGATCCCAGGAAGCTCAGCGCTGCTGAAGCTGCCGTTACTGACTGAACTGCTCCTACTCAGTGTTTCAGAAACCGGGATTTCACTTGCCGTGAACGAATTTTTCACTTCAGTAATAAGTGGATAAAACAGCTAGGAGAGCAAGTTTATTTATTTATTTATAAAGTCAAAGAACTATTTGAGTCCTAAGTTTAGATAGTTTTGATAAGCAACCAAACATCTGAAAATGAACAGATGTTATTTAGTACTGGACCCCAATAAGCAAAGCTGGCTCATACAGTCAATGCCTCTTGAAATGGATGCAAGACACAGTAAATTCTACCCCTAGTTTCTAGAGCTGTGTCTTAACACACAGAGGCAGCAATAGTATGCGTTAGACAAACGAGTGCCCAGAGAATGGTTGAGATTCTCCAAGCAAAATCTCTAATGTCACACTTCTTACATGCCTGAGAATACTACCATCTAAAAAGCAACCTGCTAGAAAAATAAAAGGCACTCTGCTGACAGAAAAAATATATACACATAGATAGATGATTAACATAACAGGGTTTTTCATATGAAAACCTAAATACATCCCCCAATACATCTTGGCATGAAAGTACAAAAGACAGAGCTCTGGGTTAGTTCATGCCATTCATTTACTTTCCCAAGTGATAACGGCTGCTCTAACCGAGACAAAGGGATCTCACGGTCTGTCAAGTGCTCTATAATACACATATTTTAAAAGCTTGAAGAGAAAAAAAAAAGCTATTTAAAAAACTTGAATGGGGTTCCCACTGCCTGTAGAATAGTTAGCTAGCTGATCCCTAAAATAGATATATAATAATATATAAATATATATTAGATATGTGTATACTTGTATACTCTTCCAAATGCAGCCCAATCTTAGTTGTCTGGTGCTGCTGTCACAGAAATAGCACGAGTGATGACAGTACAATGACTGGGACTTTATTTCCTCACACTTAGGAGGCTACAAATCCTAGTTCAAGGAACCAGTTCTAAGGAAAGGCCTTTTCTGAAGGAAGAGCCTTTGTCTTTCCGCTCTGAGGTGACACTCGTTGGGTTGGCCTCTGCCTTCTCCCATCTCGATTTCCTAATCTACTTGTTCAATCTCTTTTATACCTTATAAAACATGGTCTCTGAACACATTCCGCTCTACTCCTGTCCAACAAAACAAAGACAGCCCGTCCCCCAAATGGGATTATAGCCACAGGCACAGAGGTTACAATTTATTACACATATTTTGGGGAGGGCTGTCGGGGGAAGGAATGACATATTCAATCAGTAACAAGACCCAATACAAGAGAATTTTTAAAACTCCATGGAAAAGTTCCATTATCTTTTCATGATTTTTGGAAGTCCCCTTGTATACTTTCTCTGCCAATGTTTTCTAGAAAATTATACTCAGAAATAAACTTTAAAATAGTATTAAGAATTGAATTTTATTACGTAGAAAGTGCCCCAAACTACAGTTCTGACATACCTGGTTCCTATTTTAAACCAAAAGTCATTCTTTTGGTATTGGTATTTTATAGAAAGACTAATAAGATGCAATCCAATCAAGGTCATGCCTTTAATAACTCAAGACAGATCTTTATAGTAGAAAAGCCTGCCAAAGAGTTGTCCAAGGAAGTTCTGTTTCTCCTGGTACTGAAATGCCCATTTCTCAGGCATAAGTAACTGTGAAATGGAATAACATATTCTCACTGCCATACAGGAGATCACCTGGTTTAAACGACGACTAATGTATTGATATATGCACACTGTGGGGGATTCCCCTAGTGGCCCAATGACTGGTTAGCAATGTGCGGTGATATACTCAACCTCCTATTGGCAAACTTGAAGGAGAACATGTGATTGAGATGGTGTGGTAGTTATATAATCTGTTGTCAATTTGAGAGGATTACGAGGGAAGGGTAGGGTGGAATCAATCAGGATATAGCCAATGAGGCCTCTGTGTGGGCATGGCCTTCTCCTGAGGATTCTGGGAACTCTTGCATTTCCTCCTTGGAGGTGGGAGACACACTCTCTGCTCACTCCCCGTGAGACATCCCTGTGGAGAAGGCACATGGAGAGAGGCTAATGGAGCCAGACCTCTGGAGCCGGAGAAGCCATGTGGAGGGAGACCCCTGAGCTGAGATGCTTATAATGCCACTGGATCCACAAGACTTCCCACCCACTGGCTTGTGATCTTCCTGCATTCTGCATCATTACATGTGTTTCATGAGTCGGAAGAGGGCTTTATAGACTGGTATCGGACAAATGGGCTAATATAGGACTTACAGACTTGATAGTCTCTATGAATTTGTCTTTAGCCTACCCAGAGTAACACAGATGGTTTCTGTTTTCCCCGTACTTACCTTGATAAGGTATCTGGTGATATCCCTCCCAGCAATATCAAGTCTCCGGGTAAGGTGAGGGAGAGAAAAGCCTTCATACACCGGACAGATGTGAGTGACGCCATCTCCAGAGTCCACCACTACACCAGTCAGCAAGCCTGTGCGAGAACCACGGGAGTTTCAATTAAAAGCCAAATAGGAAAAAAAATCAATGTCAGCAAATTTCAAATATTAGAGGTCACACCAACAATTTATCCAACTGGAAAGGTCTAGAAACCAGTACTTCTTTATTTGCTTCTTTTGAAGCTTGTTAACGAGGTACCACTAAAACCACTGCCAACAAGTCAGTTCCACCCCACAGGGACCACACAGGATAGAGTAGCGACCGCACATCTTCAGGGAAGCAGACCGCCTCATCAGTTTCCCTAGGAGCAGTGGGTGGGTTTGAATCCCCAACTGTGCCTTCATCTCTGATGAGTCTCTTTGGAGGCTTTTGGTCTAATCATGTGCTACCCTTGAACGGGAATAAACAGACCTGGGAAATGTTTAGGCCTGAAAAATACAAGTTCTTAATTGCTCAGGGTAATTATTTTTCTTTCCAATTTAATTTTGATCCCTGAATTCTTTTAAAGTTTCTACAGCATTGTGGGTAACCTTTATGATAAAAAATGTGAAAAGTGACTATTACACAAAGTTAGTGGTGAGCCTAGTAAAACAGTGAATGAAATAATGTTGAAATGAAATAATGTTCTTTAACATTATTTTAGATACACAGTAAATTTGTAATAAATGGAATTGTGTCTCTCAAAAAATATTTGCTGCTGAAATCCTAACCCCAAACCTGTGGCTATAATCCCACTTGGAAATGAATTTGATTTATTCTGTTATGGGACACTCAGTGGAGTGTGTCTTAATCTCTTTTGAGACACTGTATAAAAGAGTGGATTAAGCAAGCACACATGGAGAGGATGACACATGTCACATGATCACCAATAAATGCAAGAAAGATTTGTGAGCCACCATCTAAGATAGAAAGATTGATCTCTTGGGGGGGAGGGTGGGGCACAGGAGAGTGATCACAGGTCCTTGATCATTTAAGAGATGCAATGTATGAGATGTTTACTTGGCTAATTTTAGCGAATACTTAGTCTGGCAGAGAAATGGGTTTTTTCCCTCTAAAAAATAACATTGAGAAATCAAGTTTTTCTGACATAATATGGACGTAACGAACCCTATGCATAACAGAATTACTATTTCTAAACGTTAAGTATTGCTTACCTTGAGCATACAGAGTCAAAACCGCCTGGATAGCCACATACACACCAGAAAACTGGTAAGTTTCAAACATGACCTGGAAATGCAAAAAGAAAAACATATCTATTGGTATTTAGGAAGCTACTTCATACATGTTTAAAATGTCATATAAAGAGCACGATTACAGAACAGCTCAGTTCCCTAATCAGACTCAAAAGGACGTCAGAGCCCTCCATTCTCCTTAACCTCCGGCCTCCATGGAAGCCATCGGCCTCTAATTTTGAGGCCCGAGAGCCCACTGCTTCCTCAGCATGTCCCAAGTGCTCTCAAGCAGAGAGAGTCGGTGTTTAGTTAATCAGAGTCAGAGACAGCCTTCTGCATCCGAATAAGCCTCTCTAACTGATACTCCAGAAAGGAAATGTATTTGAATGCAAAGACAAACTACTGAAGTTGCTCAAGCGCCAGGGTCTCATCGCGATCCCCTGACCTGGGCCAAGACTGGCTGTCTTCACAGAGGTTTGAAAGAGGGCGTGAAGGAGGAAGAGAAGCAGGCAGTACAACAGGAAGGTAGTAGACAAAGATAAATGCGGTGAACTCCTGACTACTGGCAAGGACAGAAACTACTTAGCAGCTGAGCATCCCGTCCCGTGGGCGAGCGCAGTGGCTGCGACTACCAGTAGGAAGGCAGGGCTTCCTGGAGTCCTTCAGGCTCCTTCTGGGCAGCCCAGGGCAGAGGGCAACAGCCGCCCAGCCGCCCTGCCCACCAACTACAGCGAACACTCCTTGACTAGCCCTAGCCCGTCTAACAGCAGCTCTGAGCAGTGAGGTATTTATAAAGTGGCACTAGACAGAATTCTAAATGTACACATGCAAATGTCGAGTGCATGCATACACAAGTATGCTGCCAACATTGTGTTCCATGATCTTTCCACTGTCCTGCCACAGAAATGAAAATGGACACGCAGTGCTTCATGTGTGCAGTGCAACTGAAAAGTCTACTACAGGTTGTTATTTAGTTTTAAAATAAAGTCATTAAAAAGTTTCTAGATGAAATCGAAAGTAGGGTATTATCAATCATAGTCAAATGTGCCCTCCTACCCTAATAAAAGTATTAAAATACCAACCACAGGAACACTATAGATTCTGCAACTAAAAATGTGATCTGAAAATAAATTTTAAAACTTAATTCAAAATCTGAATTTTAATCCAAACTTCTGTTAATATTATCTAACAAAAATCTCTTCTAAATTCCTGCCAAACTTTTGCCAACATCTAAGCGTGTTCATAAGAGTAAAACAGCAAATGGAACAGAACCTGCCGCTGTCTTATTTTTCAGTTAACCAAGTAATCTACGTCCTAATGACTCTCTCAGTTTTTGCCTCCAGCCCTCAAACTCTGAGTCTTTTCCTGGAACTCCGAATGTAGATTCAGCTCCATCTCTCTGCCCCCTCCATTTGGATGTCTGATGAGAGCTCCCACGGAACATGCCTCAAACGGAACTCTTGGTCATTCTTCCGCAATCCTCTCTTCTACCGCAGTCCATCTTTCCAGTTGCACAGATGGAAAATGTTGGTCATCCCTGGCATCCCCCCACCCCCCACATGATTACCCATCAGAAAACTCTCTGGATCTACTTTCAAAATCTCTCTCACTCCTTCCGCCGCTGCTATCCCGGTCTCCTAACTATGCCGCTGTCCCCTCGAACGTCTCCAGGCTTCTCTCTCTTCTTCTGCCCGCTTCCCAGTGGTTCACTATCCACACAGCGTGCAATGCTTAGGCTCACGGCCACAGAGGTGACTCTCACTCATGGCGACACTACAGCACATAGAACTGGCCTCTGTGGGTTTCCGTAGAAAACCTTCTCTCTCTCCCTTGCTGGTTGTTTCGCATTGCTGACCTGAGGTTAGCAACCCAACACACAACCTATTACAACACCAGCCAACATCTGAGCATGCCATCCCTCTAACGGCCACCCCACTTCCTTCCCTTCCTTCCAAGTGACGACAGGCCCTGGGTGATCTGCGCCCACCCCCCACCCCCCACCCCCCCATCACTTGTCAGGCTCCTCTCCTGCGGCTTTCCCTCGCCTGCCTCTACCCAGACACGATGGCGCTCCCTTCTTCTTGATGCGCTTCCACCACATACCCTGGCCAGGGTTTCCAATGCATTGTCTTGGCTCACGGCCAGCGCAGCAAAGTAAGAGTAGACACAAATGGCAAAAACCTGGGCGAAGTGCAACCAGGACTGGAATGGGAAAAACAGGAGGGTCAAGTCCTGGAAGGGGAGACTCAGGAGACGTGTGCCGAGTTCTTTCAGAAGTGTGATGTAATGTGTGTAAATGGAATGCGTGATGTCCAGCGTGACTCGGGATTATTCCCCGGACTGTATAGAGCAACACACATGCCAAGCGGTGTGGTTGGCACCATCTCTGAGAGGGGGCTCCTTTGGATGCCATCTCCGGCATTCACGAATCTGGTTGCTATGCAACACATGCTCCTTGCTTTCTAAAAGAGAGATTAAGTTTTGAGCAGGATGTCAACTCCTATTTTTTCCCATTCCGGTTTTCATGCCAGTACATTCACATTTGGCAAAGTCAGGTCTGTTCTGGTTTTGGCTTCAACAGCTATGATTGAACCAGGAAGAACCGGTTGAAAGGCCTGATCCTGGCCACTGCTTCAGCTGGTCTTTGTTGACGCATCACCTGTATGCAGTCCTACCGCCCCACATGCCCCATGAGCAACTGCCACGCGCAACTCCTCATACCCGTCAGCCTCACCTCTCTTTCTTTCTAACAAGCGCTTTCATGCGCTCAGAGCACTTCTCTTACTGTCGGTTCCCCTGCTCCAGTGGGAGCTCCGGGGTGGAGGACTTTTGCTTTGTTTACTATAGACCCTGCTTAGAATAATGTATTCACTCAATAAGACTGGGGCCGGGTGAGAGACACGGTTATTTTTATTTCCTTTATAACAAGAATGCAATAGTCGTAAACTTTGCTTTAACATGACATCACAGAAACATACAGAGGCACAGCCCACCCAGACACCTACCTCCACAATCTTCTCTCTGTTTTTCGTTGGGTTCATAGGAGGTTCTGTGAGTAAGATTTTACAGTTTCGGGTATCTATGTTAAGTTTCTCGGGCCCAAATGTGTAGTCCCACAGGTGCTTCATGTCATCCCAGTTTCGGACGATGCCGTTTTCCATGGGGTAGTTCACTTCTAACATCGAGCGCAATTCGCTTGCCTCATCTCCGACCATGAGGTCCTAAAAATCAGAACGGCGAGTTTTAGATCAGACACATTTTCGCATAGAACACCTTCAAAACACTCTAATCCCATGATATTCCAGCAACTTTGGGAATAACTAATTTTTAACATATTTCAGTTTCAGATCAAAGTCCTTCATTCCATAGGTTTAAACACTTCAAGGGCAATGCCTTGCAAAGTTTAATCTTGGATAGTAACTTTTATGCACACTGTGATTTAAATCAATAAATTGACCTTACCTTCCATACATATGCCTCCAAAAGAAGAGCATTAGCACAAATAAACCCCACTTTTCGTATTTGGGGAGGTTTCAATGAGGTTCTCATCTGTTTCTTTTGCTCAAATGTTCAAAAAATAAGGCCTGTGATACGTGAAATAGCACATCAGGGGAAGACGAAACGGAACAAAACAAACTGTAGAAAATGCTCAACGCATGCAGCACATGTGTTTGTAGTAAACACCAGGATGAGGAAAGCACTGCACGCATAATGAAAGAAGCGCAAGGAAACAAACCAAAGACGAGTCTCCATCTTACTGCAAGAACGCACGTCTGTATCGTGTGCCTGGCAATCGCCACATGCCCGAGGAGGCCGAGTTTCCATCACGCTCCCATGCGTGCCTCGCCAAGACGGACGAGAGGCCCCACAGAGACCACAAAGCAAGGCACAGGGAGATACTCCTGCAGGACAGTCCTCTCCTGAGCGGCTGTTCCAACCTTCAAGTGTAATACTGGAAAAAGGCGTCATCACTGACGAAGCAGAAATACAAGTCTTGTCTCCAGTGAATGCACACTTCAGATGATCCACATTGGAAAATTCAAATCGTACAATAAGGCTAACGATGGCCTAGAAATTAAGCTTATTTTAGATGCCAGCTAGTCCAGATGCTAAATAATATTCATTCCTACTGTACTCGTGCATTGCAGTGAAAAACAAATCTAGTACCAGAAATAGCTACTTGCTGTAATACTCAACTGTAAGACATGAGGGGAAAAAAACAAAACCCAGCAGCAAATTAACATGAGATGTCTTAAGATGGAGGCTTCAAAAATGTTGAACATTTAAGAAATACTCTTAATACAAAGGTCGACAGTAAGACCGATGTGAGGACCATCACAAAAGAAACAGATCCTGAAAATCCACTGAAAGCAGCAACAGAAAAGAAAAACATAGAAATGTTCATAAAAACTACTCTGGGGCAACTGACTTTTGTGTGTGCAAATTATTTCTTAAGAAGGCAATTTCGCACGGCTCACACTGCTTGAATATTAGCTATTTAGCATCATCTTACTACAGGAAGACATCAAACCAACAGTGTGTATTTGCGGACCTCTTCCCCTACCCTAATGCACTCAGGAGGGAGACCAGACTAACATCTAAGGAGCTCAGGTGAGGCTGCTGGTTAAGCGCTGGGCTGCGAACCTTTGAAAGGTCGGGGGCTCAAAACCACCGCCGGCTGTTCCTCAGGGAAGAGATGAGGCCGTCTGCTCCCCGGAGAGATCGTCTTGGAACCTCTACAGAGCTGCTATGGTGGAATCAGCCTACCAGCAGTGGGCCTGGGTTTTCTACTATAGCTTGGAGACCCGGTGGCTCAGTGGTTAAGTGCTCAGCTGCTAACTGGAAACCCGTTTGTGTGAAGCCGACAGCGGGTCCTCAAGAGAAAAACAGTGTGCTGGCCGCTTTCCGTGAGGATCAATGTCTTGGAAAGGAGACCCTATGAGGCGGAGCTACTCTGTCCTGCAGGGTCACTAGGAGCTGAAATGGACTCACCGGCAGTGGGCCTGGCTTTGGGTTTATACTAATATCTGCAATTTATTTGAAAAAAGATAATGATACCTGATAAATCAGAATGGAAAATATTAGTGGCAGAATCTAGGTGATGGGTAGATGACTGCACTGTAAAATTCTCTAGACCTTGCTGTATATGTGAAGCAGTTCTTAATAAAAATAGGGTAGGGGTCTATACCTCCAAGTACATTAACTACTCTTGGTCATTGAAATTTAGCTCTGATCTTTAAAAAATAAAAACAAGTAATAATAATAAAAAGAGAAATCTAACATAATAAACAAGTTTGTTACTTATTTTGCACTACAGTGGAGCACTAGTGGTGCAGTGGGGTCCACACTGGGCTGCTAACCACATGGTCAGCAGTTCAAACCCACCAGCTGCTCAGTGGGAGAAAGACGAGGCTGTCTGCTCCTGTAAAGAGCTGCAGCCTCAGAAACCCACAGGGCCAATTCTATTCTATCCAGAGGGTCGCTCGGAGTTAGAATTGACTCAATGGCAGTGAGTCTCGTTTGGGTTGTGCTCTACAATAGGCCAGAATGTGACACTTCCTTTGAGTTGTACAAGGTAACGACTTTCAACCAATTTGGACTAGGCTAATTTGATTTCACTAGACTATTTACTTTTGATTCCACACATAAGTCTGACCCCAGACCAACTCAAAATAAAAGCCAAGCCCATCTATTCCTAGGACCACGTACAATAAGAAATTTCTTGAGTAGCCCAAGCCACCCAGTTTGAAAATTTATCTCTATCTAAATTTTAACGTAAAATCCCAAACACAGAATTTCTCCTCAAATAATTCAACTTCTCCAAGCCAAAAATTGCCCTCAGAGCTCAGAAACAAGTTACAGGGAATCAGATCAAGCCTTAGGTTGTAACTACCTGCCTTCCTGCTGGACACTCGAGCCTAAGCCATCACCTGAGAGAATTACAAATCCAAGTCATGGGATAAGATGCCATTTCCAGGGCATTGACGTTTTATGAGAAGCAGGCAACGCCGATTTTATTTGCCAAGAATCACTTTGACCAATGTCACCTCCAACGGAGAAACTAGGGAAAGCACAGCTCTGAAACCAGTTTAAACCTGACCCAGAAGAAAGTCCTGCCAGGAACACTAAGCCCATACTGCTGTTCCCGAGTTCTTAGTCTCCTCTTGCTCTTCAGACAAATGCATGACTTCTTATGTAAGATAAAGACGTGAGCTTCCATTTTTGGATGGTTTTGTTTACTCAAATGAAAACATCACAAATTAAGGCTGCTGGTTCAAATGTCATTTAGAAATGCCTGAAAAATCTTGACTATACCTATGGTAGAAACAAGACTAACAGAAAAGTCGATTGGGAAGATCCCAGCAGACTTCTAGTTCAAAAGAAAAAGGTACCACAGAATGCGGTTTATGTTGGGGTGGGGCAGAGCACGTAGATACCACTGTTTATGGAAAAGCCTTACAAATGCTTTAGTTCTTCCTTATTTAGCCTCAGGTAATGTAAAAAAATTTCATCAACAAGGATGGTTCAAAGAAAACCTGTTTTCCCCCCTTCCATAATTCATTGGCATGTAAAATTTTACCCTGTTTATGAAATCTACACATATGGTCCAACACTATATGCAAAGAAATACACAGGTTAAAACAGGCAATGTTCCATTTAATGTTGGGGTCGATAAGGCACAGTTCTCCACATGAAGTGATGTCACCCCACTTTTCTGGATCACACACAGCCTATAATAAAACCACTTGGTTTCTAGTATTATGCACACCACATTCCATTTTTATTATAGCATTCATCTATAAAAAACAAAAGGAAAACAATTCAAAACCGGGTTAGTAATTAGTGCTCGTATGGGTCTTTGTATGAAATCAGGAAAAGTAAAGGAATTAATTAGTTGCCACTAAACCGAAGCAATGAAAAAGGTTAAAAAAAATCAAAGTATTTCAAATAAAAATATGGAGCTATCCCCCCTCCCCAGTACTAAAGGGACAAAACAACTACTGTCCCACCAAGCCAAAGTGGTAAACAAACAGAGAGCATGTGTGTAACCTCACTTACCATCTTTTTGTTATTCTACTTCAACAGGTCAAGAAAGGTGAAGAGAGAGAAGGTAGAAGTAAGAGTCAGAAAAGGCCTAAATAAAATCCTCACTGAAATTTTTAAACACACAAGCAATAGAGACAAATTAGGTAGAGGTCAGATGCAGTACCGTTACCATTTTATGGAATTAATCATTAGAGCCAAATGAATACGGACAGTCATTACTCCTGAACGAAAATTAAGTCATTAAACAATGTAAAATCCCACCTTTTTCCGGTCTACCATCACATTTTAACTAACAAGATACAAAACATGTAATTCGATCCCCTAAGCATAGGAATTCCAAAATGTCAAATTTCTTGATTTTGCTACTGAATTTAAGAACTTTAATTAAGGAAAACAGCAGAAAAGGAATGGCTGGGTAGGGCAGAAGTTCAGATCGTTCAGTTGGTCCCTTGCCTCCCCGAGTTCTAACACTCAGAGTTAAACTTGACCCAGGCCCTTTACTGGTTCCATTGGAAGAACAATGTAATTTGAAATGCTTAAAGACTGAGCAGACTGAACACAAATGGCACATTATATAAGCAAAAGCTACTGGCGAAAACTCCTTGACAAAATGTCTTAGTAGATGTTCCCTTTCTATCACTTGGCCCTAAAAGGCAAGAGAGGAAAGAGATGTGTAATTATTTCTGCCTGTGTTGGAAAATAAAAGGGACCACACATGACACTCCTGACATCCTCGAACATTGCTGTCCATAATGTACGTCAAGAAGCAATTCTTAAAAAGCTGATCCCTTAAAAAAAAAAGCTGATCCCTGCATATAGAGTATCTTTCAGCTCCACTAGAAAGTTTAGCATTACCAATATCATTAGCTTACTGTTATGCCAAAGTTCATCTGAGATCGAATTTAATTGGAATGAACGTTCACAAAGGAGAATAGGAATCCCATAGATTTCCCCAAAGAAAAGATCTTGAAAAAGTAAAATAAAAGCTCACATTAAGTGCATCCCATTTACCTTTGGGGTACCATCATAACAGAGGCCAAACTAATTCATTAGTTTAAGTCTTTAAAACATTCTCACAGACGCCAAGTTTCAGTTAAAACTTTCATTCCCTGTGTTAACTCATTTCCTCATTCTCAACAGCAGAGAGCAACGCAGCAGCAAATCTCTGGCAGCTCCCCAGGCTTCTCCATGCGATGGCTCAAAGAGGTGCACTCTAACACCTCTCTCCAAGGACTCCTCATCTAACCGTCCAGGGGAGTCTGGCCAAGACGATCCAGACAGGACCAACAACGTGAGCGTCTTCACACAGACAGCCCCTCAAGAGCCTACAGATGCTGCTACTACATTTGGCATGTGCCCTGATCCCGAGGCTATCTGAGGTATTTCAGTCAACTGGTGACCTTTGCCCTTTTATTTATGCTTTTTTTTTCCTTCTAAAGTAATATTAACTTCTCTTTGGTTTCTAACTCTTCTAATACAGGACAAAAACCTGTCATCCTTAATAATGTAGGGTCACTGACATTAGGTACAATGAGTAGGCAATGGCAATCTTCCCTTTCCTTGCCTCCTAGCAAGACAAAGTACGTCCGTGCCAATAGACTTGCCTGGCTTCCTCCTGAACACTGGGAAGTACAGCAGTCAAAAGAACCACTGTGATTCACACGCTGTTTTACTGACAAACTCTTTTAAAATATGACAGGGCCAGGGCCATGAGAACATGGAATGAAAAAGTCTATGGGCTCAAAGAGACACTAACATGTATATCACAACTGTATGGAGCTGAAAGACATACACATAGCAGGCTGATTCTTTCTAACAGGACTTGGTCAGTCTTTCACATTCACGGCACCTTTTGCATCCTTGTTGACGTCTTGCTAGGGATTCAAAGCATGAGGCATTCTGCCTCCCCCTCTTGCTTTTCATGGGTCATTATTTTAAAACGACTGAATTTTGGTAACACCTCATTTGGTGAAACAAAGAAATATTACCTTGATTTCAATGTTTCCCACTTTGGTGGTTGATCTGATAATAGGTCTTCCAACCAAAGCTGGGAAGATGTGCTCAGGGAAGTTAGAGCCCGCATAGCCACACTTCACAAACTGGAAGGAAACAATAGAAAAAGCGGTTAGTGTCGAAGTATTAACAAACATATCCACTTAAAACCAGTCTGCCAACGCCCGCCCTCCCCCCAACCCACTTTGTATTGATGCCCCATTAAAAAGGTTCAGTGCTTCCTAATCACCCAAAGGAGCCACTCTGTCACAAGATCGCCACTGTTTTCTTTATGGCACTGATTGCTCCCAGAATTCCCAGTTCACGTCATTTTTGGTCTACGAGCCCCAGAAAGCAGGGAGAGAAGCCAAGGGGCTCAGGCTAGAAGAGGCTCTGGCACCTAGTGGTCACTCAAGAAGTTATTTAGGGAATGGACAAACCTCAATCCAAGAGACACTAAATGTTTTTTAAGAGAGAAAGGTCAGAAAATGAACAGGACTAGCGCTTCCATTCTAAAGCAGGCTTTCCTTCATCGTAGGCAACTCATTTAGGCAAAAGCAATTTTCAAAACCGGGAAACCACATGGCCCCTGACGCAGCGTCACATGAAAGTGAGCATTACTATGCAGACTCTCTGTTTATTTATTATTTGTACTTTAAATCTTAGGTTCAGATAATATACCTTTCCAATGCAGGCTTCTCACCGAGTCTGGTAAAAGCACCCATTTTGTGATTGAGAAACCGACACAGTAAGAGTTTTCATGACGGGTACAGGAAAACTGAATTAGAACCACTTTTAAGAATTTTGAATCCTTATGTCAATAAAAAGCTTAGCCTCCTCATTTTTAAAAGCTAGCAATAAAGAGAAAGGGCAATTAAAAATTCCACATCCAAACCAGATGCCAAGCAAAGTCTGAGAGCAGCCTGGCATCCCAAAGGGTTTTGGACAGCGGTGGCCTCTCCGAAGTAAATCAGCAGGCCTTTGTCCACAGCACCTCTGGGTGGGGCCAAACCAGGAGACTGCCAGTACTCAAGTGTGTCGCCATTTGCATCCCACAGGGGCAGGTAGGAAGGTAAACAAAGGAGTTATCACCCAAGTCTCTCATTTGTGGTTGGTAAGCCAAACTTCAACCCATGGTGATCCCACGTCCAACAGCAAAAAGTGTTCACCGGTTGTGTCATCCTTATAGTCAGTGGCTTTGAATCACGTTTGAGCCCTGTTGCAGCTTTGGCTCCATCCACTTCAAAGAGTGTTCTCCCATGTCCTCATTGGCTCTCTCCTTGACCAAAAAGAACGTGCCCCTCCAGAGACTGATCCCTCCTGATAACCCAAACACCACAGTCACGGCCACCAAGTCAGTGCTGACTTAGAGCGACTCTACAGGACAAGGCTGAACTGGCCCTGTGAGTTTCCAAGACTAACAGTTTACAGGAGAAGATGATGTTTTTCTTCCGAGGAGCGGCTGGTGGTTCCAATTTGTGGACCCTGAAGTTAGCCGTCCAATGCACAACCACTACACAAGCAGAACAGCTCAACCCTTTCTGATGGCAGGTCCCAAACCGCAGTTTGGACAATAACCTGTGGTGATCCATAAGGTACTTGTTGGCTGATTGTCAGAAGTGGATCACCAGGACTTTCTTCCGCGCTTTTATAGTCTGGAAGCTCTGCTGAAACCTCAACCCAGGGCAAATCTGCTGGTATATGAAGTACTGGTAAGACGGCTTTCTAGCAGTATAAACTCACAGAGTCACGCGGTTCGACAGACAGATGGGTGGTGGCTACCCCACTTAACAAGAGAAGCCTGGTGGTAGGCTGGGACTGCCAAGCACTCGGTCAGTTACCATAGGAAAAAGATGAAGCTGGCTGTTCCTGGAAAGGTTTACAGTCTGGGAAATCCAAAGGACCAATTCTACCCTGCCTTGCAGGGTCACGATGAGCTGGAATCAACCCCACGGTAGTCGGCTTGGGTCTGGGTTACTCAGTGGTCGCTGCACTGGGCCGGGGTTTTGTGTTTATTGGTGACTCTCAGGTGCTTAAGACAAGGTCTGGCACAAATAAGGTACACGGTAAACAACTGAGAAGTTCTGCTATGAAGGTGAAAGGATGATATCTATGCTAATTTTAACACAGAATATATTTGACACTCACAGATGCTACTCTTCTGTGGCTCTAAGCATCAAACTTTCTCTTAGGAACATTCCGAACTAAAAGCACCAGGTGGTGCAGGTGGGAAGCGACAGGAACACGGAGGTGGACATACACAATTAACCTACACCGAGACAGAAAGCAACGCCATGCAAGAACTGCTCACTTGGTGGTAAAACTTAACCTTAAATTCAGTGCCTTCCCACAGACCTTCCAAAGTATAAAATTTTGATACTTCTGAGATCTCTAAAGCAATTTAACTGAAAAAGATGTTGATGAACCATATTTAATTATAAATAGCCTAGAACATTTTGCCACCTAGTTTTATGAACAGAGCTTTTTAAAGATACGCTAAACTTATGATTTAAGCAGATTAAGACCACTTGCAGAAAAAAGCAGCCCGAAATTAGGAAGTTTTATATTCACAATACTGCATGAATTCTTACCCCCTTGGCTCATGTTTTCCATTTTTAAATCTACTTAAAACACAGTATTCAGGTGTTTCCTTTTCTTTTTTAAAAAATCATTTTATTGGGGGCTTGTAAAACTCATCCATCCATTGTGTCAAGCTCATTTGTACATTTGTTGCTGTCATTCTCAAAACATTTGCTTTCTACTTGAGCCCTTGGTATCAGCTCATTTCTCCCCCTCCCTCATGAACTTTTGATAAATTATAATTATTTTTTCATGTCTTACACTGTCCGATGTCTCCCTTCACCCACTTTTCTATTGTCCGTCCCGCAGGTAGGGGGTTATGTGTAGATCACTGTGATTGGTTCCTCCTTTCTACCCAACCTTCCGGTTCCCTCCTGGTATAGCTACTCTCATTATTGGTCCCGAGGGGTTTATCTGTCCTGGATTCCCTGTATTTCCAGCTTTTATCTGTACCAGTGTATATCCTCTGGTCTAGCCAGATTTGTAAGGTAGAATTGGGGTCATGATAGTGGACGGGAGGAAGTATTTAAGAACTAGAGGAAAGTTGTATGTTTCATCGGTGCTATACAGCATCCTGACTGACTTGTCTCCTCCCCGAGACCCTTCTGTATGGGGATGTCCAGTTGCCTACAGATAGGCTTTGGGTCTCTGCTTGGCTCTCCCCTCATTCACAATGATATGAATTTTTGTTCTTTGATGATTGATACCTGATCCTGTCGACATGTGATCACACAGGCTGGTGTGCTTCTTCCATGTGGGCTTTGATGCTTCTCAGCTAGAAGGCCACTTGTTTATCTTCAAGCCTTATAAGACCCCTATCTTTTGATAGCCGGGCACCATCAGCTTTCTTCACCCATTTGCTTATCCACCCACTTTGTCTTCAGTGATTGTGTCAGGTAGGTGAGCATCATGGAATGCCAGGTTAATAGAACAAAGTGTTCTTGCATTGAGGAAGTACTTACTTAGAGTCCCAATATCCGTCTGTTACCTTAATACTTACATATAAATATATGTACATAGATCTATTTCCCTATCCTTATTATATATAATACTATCATGTTCAACCTTTATTCGGGTTTCAGTAATTCCTCTCGGTTATATTGCCCTTGATCAAGCCCTACCAGGCCTCTTACACCCTCCTCGCCATAGATTTTCTATCACTTGTACTTCCCTTGTCCCTGGGTTTGTTAACACCCCCTCCCTTCCTCCCCCTCCCCCTCCCATGTACCTCCCAGAACAGTGGGTCCAGTTGCTTTCTCCTCCAGATTGTTTATCCTGCCTATCTTATCAAGACAGAAATGGAGATAATAATATACAGAAAAACAAGGCAGAGCAAAACAAAGCAACAAAAGAAACCAAAACAACAAAAAAATGGAAAAGCCTATAAATAGTTCAAGGTCTGTTTGTTGACCTTTAGGAGTGTTTTCTGGTCCAGTCTGATGGGGTGCCACACCCTGGCCCCAAAGTCTATTTTTGGTATTTTCCAGGGACTTCATTGCTCTGCTCCCCTTGCTGTTCTGTTGCACACCCTTAGTGTTTCCCCCCAGTGTGGTGGGGTCAGATCAGGCACAATTCCCACATTGTGTCTGTCTCCTGTAGCACTCTGGATCAGTGAGGAATGTCGTGTTTCATAGTGGGGCCGGCCCTATGGTCCTCTCTGCATTGGCTAATTTGAGCAGAATATCATCCTCAGGGCTTGGTGGGCCAGGATGTGCTCCCCCCACCCCATCCCCACTTGCTCCTGTGTGCTCTGATCAGACGTGTCATATACAAAAGGTGATAAACTGCTTATTCATACCTACTTCCCTATTTGTACAGTGGTCAATAGTGACGGATTAGACCAGCGTTTTCCAAAATGGGCTACTGCCCCTTGGTGGTGGTGGTGGTGGTAACACTGGAAGTATCCAGGGGTCTGCAAAAACCAATACCTACACTTTCTCCTAGAGTATGGGCTGGAATAAAATGCTTTTAATTGCCAGAGGGGCATGCAGTACTCCCCTCCCCCTCACTCCTCAGAAAATGTTAATATTAATTCAAAGGCTCTAGTTGTTTCTCACAATGTTTTCCTACATGATTTATCTATGTATCTTTGAAGAGATCAGAGCAACAACTACCACAGTGATGACCCCAAAACAATGCGAAAAAACCTGTTTTAAAACGACCAAATTACAACAAACACACACAGCCCTCACATTATCTTCCTCTAAATCACTCTTTTATCCTTAGAGCAAATCCAGTCCATGGGAAGAGCACCAGTGCTCGTTTACCCAATGCTAATTTCTGTATAAATAAAATGTCATGGGTGCCAGCCCAATATCAGCATTAGTCGTAATTTAAAACACATCACAAATATAAAAATGAAATACTATTGGAAGACTCCCATATTTACCTCAAAACAGTGAGCAGGTAGAGACAGGGTAGGTCAAACGTGTCCAGTCACCAGGATGCAAATTTTCACAAAGAACAGCAGACAGAGCATAACGGACAGGACACTACCGGCTGTGAGGTCCACAACATGCCCACCGTC